AATCATTTTCGAATAATTAAAAGACTCAAACGAATGAATTTTCAAATCAATCAACATTGGAAGTGAAGATGGTACATAATTCTTATTAACTAGACCCACGTTTACCGAAAGACGTTTTAAACAAGGTGTGTATTCAAGTAATTGATTTATTTGATTCGTTTTAAGTTTGGCGAAATATATCATTACACATTTAAGAGATAAAGAGGTAATTGTTGGTAGACAAAAAGAATATTTTTCGAAGTCAATGTTCAAACAACACTTAGTAAGTTTTGATAAATTCCAAATCGTGTCAACAATTAATTGGCAATCGACTTGTTCATTTGGAAGATAAGAAGCATAAACGACTAATTGCATAAGATTATTTAGATGACGACATTCATCCAAGAGTTTCAATAATGTTTCATATGGATGAAGATTGTATAATGTCAGAGATTGCAACTGAGTAAAATGATTGAATGATGGTATATAAGATAAAAAATGATTAATTTGTCTTGAAATATTTCTATAATCAGAGAGATGAAGTGTAAGAACTCGATTAGCAATGAATGGTAAATGTTGTTGATATATTGCATCGAATTTGCTTTTGGACATACAATCAAATTTAAAACGATAGGCTCGAAATTGCTTGTACAAAAGAAGATTAAAACGTGAATTGAGACCATAAAATACACGAAGAAGATCAATACTATTCAAATATTCGAATAGATCAAGTAAGAACTCATTAGGTAACAATTCCAAATTCATTGTATGTGCGTCTTCACGTACAATTAAATATAATGTGTATAACGACGCCGAATATAATATTTTGTATAAGATAAATAGGTTTTTCTTCTTGTTCAATATAACAGTGATTTGTTTTTCGTTTTATCTGCTTTTAGTCAACGTATGCATCCACTATATAAATAACATGCCTCGTCTGAAATATCGTCAGTACTTGCTAGGTTAGTCTATAATGTTTCGTCTATTTTGCATGTTGGCCTCACCTTGACTAGTCAGCAAAGAAGAGAACAAATAGGGTGTGGGTGTGGATGTGTGGGTGTGGGTGGGTGTGGGGTGTGTGGGTGTGGGTGTGGGTGTCGGTGTGGGGTGTGGATGGGTGTGGATGTGGGGGGGTGTGGGTGTGGATATGTACTCTAAGAAAAGTTCCACGCCCATCCATCCTACCCACACTCACACTCTCACCCACACCCACACCCACATCCACCCACACCCATCCACACCCACCTCACACCCACACCCACACCCTAAATATAAACAGAGATATAAATTCTACTTGTCTAGTATCAAAACATAAACTTACATTAACTGATAGTTGTAATCTATTTATATTTTGAATAAATATATTAATATCGTATTATATGAAATGACATCTATCAAATCGTTAAAGATTTTTAAATAAATTCTTTGAAGTTGACTCGAAAGTTAGTTGAATGTCTTTCTATATATTTATCAACAATATCTCCTAATAATAATCGAATATATTTATTTCGACATTGATGGTCAGAGGCCGAAACGGGGCGGGGAGAGAATTTGGGTGAAATGGCGGGGCGAGGCTGGGCGGGGAGAGAATTTGGATGGAATGCCGAGGCAGGACGGGGAGGCAAAAACTAATTTATGCCGGGGCGGGACGGGGGTGGGGAATCAAAATATACCGGGTGAGCCCTAATGATTGCGCCAGTTAGCATTTTGCGAATATCTCAGCACAGATCAATCGTATAATCTTGATTCTTTTTTTAATAGTTGCACCGTCGAAAGCTCTACAAAAGCTGTATGAACAAATCCCTATTGACTTGTTCTGATGATGTCTCCTATACTCAAAGTGAATAGGTCACATGATGGTGCAAAATCTCATCGTCTTAAATATTTGGAAGACTTTTTTGTTTTGCAAATATCTCGACATGAGAAAATGACAACATCTTGACTTTTTTTCAGAAGATGCGCCGTCAAAAGCTCTACAAAAGCCTCTATGGACAGGTACCTATTGACTTGCTCTGATAGCTTTTCGAATTGGTTAAAACTAAAGACCTGCATGATATTGCCACGAGTGTTCAAAACTGTTTACGACATTTTTTATTTCGAATAAATCTCGGCTTAAGAAAAGGCTAGAGTCTTGATTTTCTTTTTAAAAAGTTGCGCTGTCGAAAGCTCTACAAAAACTGTAAGAAGAAATCCCTATTGACTTGTTCTGATGGTGTATCTCCGATACTCAAAATGAACAGGTCACATGACGGTGCTATGTCCACCGTATTTAGTATAACAAAAATATTTGGAAGACGGTTTTTATTTTTCGAATATCTCGACTTGGGAAAATGATAACATCTTGATTTTTTTTCAAAAGATGCGCCGTCGAAAGCTCTACAAAAGCTGTATGAACAACTTCTTATTGCAAAACAAAAAAGTCTTCCAAATATTTAAGACGATGGGATTTTGCACCATTATGTGACCTATTCATTTTGAGTATAGGAGACATCATCAGAACAAGTCAATAGGGATTTGTTCATACAGCTTTTGTAGAGCTTTCGACGGCGCATCTTTTAAAAAAAGAATCAAGATTATACGATTGATCTGTGCTGAGATATTCGTAAAATACTAACTGGCGCAATCATTAGGACTCACCCGGCATATAGATAGATAGATATCAGCAAGAAATTATATTGTTACATTTTTGGTACACGTTTGTCATATAGAATTTTGAAGTATTTCTTACCTTCCATCTAGGCATGTACCCAAACCGTTTGTGTTGTTTTTACCTAAATGAAGAAAAATGCCTTTATCTACTGAATGACAGAACACAACATTTTTCCGTCGGTAAAAAATTAAACTAGAGAGGTGACACTACAAAATACCGAAAGGGAGATTTGGGTATCGTTGTTAGACTACATGCTAGAGTCAATCAAAAAACCCAAACCCAATGAGTTTAGGTTTGGGTTTGGGGGGTTGTTCAATTTCCTTTGAATCTCTTATTTAACCAAACAGTTCATTTGATCATTTTTCGCTTAGTTGTCAAGGACAGACTTCCTTCTACATTAATGGTGCGACAATTTGTTAAGATAGTTCATAATCAGTGAGATTAGTTTGAAATATTCAAATTCCGTTATTGAGTTTGGCTGCATGCCTACATCCATCTACTGTATAGAATTTATTTAATTTGCATGAAGTAACAAGTACATAGGCGACGGAATATGTGTAAATCATGAGGATTAAAATAACGTCATATGTCATTAAGTAGTAGCGCTACCTCTTCATTACTATCTCCTTTGTGTTCGTTCTTCTCTGTTTTCCATTCATTGGTCTCTCTATAGTCTGGACACTATGTCTATCGATTGATTCTTTTAGTTGGATTTATTATTTGTTTTTTTTCCTTCTGAATAAAGAATCGAACCAGAAATGGTTTATTTGGTCGATTCAGATTAATATAAGTATACATAGAAAATAGAGAAGTAACAGGATCATGTGTTTATAAATACCTTCTAAAAATCATTTAAAAATTACAAAGTATACTTTCTATCATCATATTCTTTGTTTCCACATGAACAGATGATTAAAATTCAATTGGACTTATTCTTTTTACGAATCGTTAACCTTCTTTTATTTTATGATTAAAATAGTTTCAATTTAAATCCACAGCAAATGTTTGTACACGACGATTTTCAGCATCGCTCACATAAACATTATATTCTTCATCGAACGATAAATCTTCAGGAGTATCAAGTTGATTTGATTCCTTTCCTTGTCCATTCCCACCAACCACAACAGAGCCTTCTACAGATCCTTTCACCCACCGTATTATTCTATGATTGTGCCGGTCAGCCACGTAGACAGAATCGAATTGATCGACAATCACTCGCCGAGGAAATGTCAATTGATTGAGTCCAGCTCCTGAACCTTGTCCACCAGCAACGAGAATATCTTCTTTTGCATCTTTTATCCATTTCATAACACGATGATTGCTTGTATCTGATATATAAACTGAATGATTTTGATCAACAAAGAGATAACTAGGACGATTGAGTTGATTGAAATGATTTCCTGGTCCATTTCCACCTGCTACTATTGTTCGATTTGTGTCTCCTATCTTCCATCTTACTACTTGTCTCTTGTCTCTATCGCAAATGATAAGAGAATCATTGTCTTTATCAATAATTAAATCTATCGGATGATTCAACTGATCACTTTGATTCCCATTTCCATTGTCACCTGCAGCAAGTTCGCCTATCTTTGAATAATATTTCCATTTAACAACACGGTTAAACCAACTGTCACAAATATAAATCATTTGATCATCATAATCGACGTAAAACCCTTCAAGTTGGCCAAATTTATCAAGTGTCTCACTGAACTTTGTTCTCCAATAATTGTAGTTCCATTTTGTATACATTTTATATCGACAGTAATGCTAGTTGTAGAACTTATTGGTTCTAA